CGTGTCTGAGGTACACGGCCGGTGACAGATCGCACCGCAGTGTGGCCTTGCGGGCATGCACAATATGCACTCTGGGAAGGACGATATATGGCGTCCACCCGGAGGGATGAGCTGTTAAAAATTTGCAGACGGCATCACGGTAGTGGGGAAAAAATGAGCAGCAACATCACCCGAATATTGAAAATCTAGTTGGTTAGTGCAAAGAGAAAAAAGATTATTATTGTTGAAATGTAGCAAAGAGAAAAAAGATTATTATTGTTTTTAGGAAAGTATAGGAAGTTAGCTATGATGGTGATGAATATTGGGATGCTGGTTGAGTGGGTAGAGGAGTTCTGCTTCCTGGGAACAATAATTAGGGAGGATTTGTTGTTGACAGGGCAAATATCCTGTCTGGTTGGCAAAGCTCATCAGAGACTGTACTTTTTGAGGGAGCTATGGAGAGCAGACTTTTCAGAGCGGGTCCTCTTTAGCTTCTATAAAGCTGCAAATGAAAGTGTGTTAACATAATGTATTACATTTCTTTGTGGCTAGGATCATGCATGGTCCTTGACAAAAATGCCTTGCAGAGGGTGATAAAAACAGCACAGAAGATTATTGCAGGAGTTTACTGAGTATTGAGAAATTGGAGAAGGGGAGGTGTCTTCGGAGAGCGATTAAAATATTGGAAGATACTTTACATCCTTGTAATGCACTGCATACATTGCTACCTTATGGTAGGCAGTATAGTAGTATTTACTCTCGTATCACCAGATCGTGAAATAGCTTCTTTCTTTGATCTGTATGGCTCTTGAACACTGGAGGTGTTATGGAATAAACTGATTGGGAGTTATATATAGTATTCATTATGGTGTGTGTGCTGTTTTTGGTTAAGTGTTCTTTATGTTGGGTGTGGAATTCCTTTTTTTAATGTGAGGAACCTAAAAAGAATTTCTGATTCAGATTCTGGTTCATATTTAAACACAATTTTTAATTTGTGGTAATACTGTTGCTTTGGCCTGCATTAGCAAAGCAAATGTTTACTTATAAGGTACAGTCCACCCAAAAGTTATGTCTCATGTATGGGTGAATTAAGTACAGCCTATTAACAGTCTATTACAGTCTGAGTCACAGTCTCTTTTTGTTACATCTTTTGAGGATTTAAAGCAGATCTTTGGTCAGAAAATTAGGCTACAGAAACTATTAAAAATAAATACCCATTTGTCACATATCTGATTGGAAACTAAATTGATGAGGTCAGCCTCACTTATGACACTAGCCCTGACCCCACTGGAAGTGGAACAGAAGGTGTCTAAGGACCAGGGGGACAAGAGTGCCAGCAGATGTTGTTTGCAGTACTTGCAGCTGGAGTCCTTAAAAGACTGATTGACCACCGATTCAGGAACAGTAGCGATATGCAGAGCTAGTATGGTAGATCGCCAGGCGTGCACCAGAGCAAGGCAGGAAGCTGGGATGGGAGACAGGAGCAGTGTCAAAGGACTAGCCAGGGTCATCAACGGGCGGACAGCGAGGTACCAAATCATAAGCAAGCCAAAGTCAGGAGCAGAGCCGAGGTCAGGAACGAGTATCAAGCAGGAGAGGAATCAAGACAATCAAGAGTCAGGTCAGGAACAAGGGAATCACACAGGAACAAGCAGGACACGGGGAACAGCTGAAGACCAGTCCTCACTCAGCACAGGCAGAGGCACTCTTTAAATAGTCCATCTGGCGCCAATCTTTGCCGTGCGTGTGCACGTGCGCGTGTGCGCGATTGCGCATTTCTGTGCTCATGCGCATTTCTGGTCACTCTTCTCTGAATATTTCCGTGCGCATGCACATTTATATTTGCCATCATTCTCAGGGGAATTCCCTTGCACCATTAAACCCCAATCCCTTTAATTCTACATCTCATCCTGCTCTGTACAGTCTCAGTTGGATTCTACTGCCAGCAAAAACTTTATATTCTCAGTCTCCTGCACTCAAATGTAGTACTAGGGGTCTAGAACACTCCCCACTCTTCTAGTCTATGGTTTGAGTTCTCACAAGCCTTGCAGCCCTCCTGGGACTAGGAATATCCCTTCATATGCAGCACAACAAAACAACAAAAAGAGGATGTGCCAGTCTGTTGCATTACAATAATACACTGTTTTCTAATGAATAAAAGCAAATGTTGTACTCACAAACAATATAATTGAACAAGCATAAAGAACCAAGGGCTGACTGTTTCCAGATCAGCAATGCATGTCCTATATCACAGGAAGACTCCTTTTCCTTCAATATGGCTTATGCGTTTTGAGGGACAATCTCTCTTCTTCAGAGCCTTTTTCTTGGGCCCTGAAGAAGAGGGGTTTCTCCTCAAACCTTGAAAGTCATACTGACACAAAAAGGAGTCTACCAGCGGTATAGAACATGCGTAGCTGATCTGTAGACAGTCAGCCCTTGGTTCCTTGATATGCTTGTTCAATTATTATGTTTGTGAGTATAACAGTTGATTTTATTCATTAATAAATGGATGTTTATGGTAATGCACTAGGCTGGTGTGTCCTCTTTTTGCTGTTTTGTAGTGTTTCTATCCTTAGCCTGTGTCCAGAATCAATGCAGTGAGGAAGTCTTGGGAGAACCCCTATATCTTGATAACACAAAGACATACTACTGCAGATGGGGTGGAGGAGGAAAAAGGCAGACGCTGCTGTGAGAGGTCAGATTAGAGATAGAGAATAGAATATTAGAAGCGATAGGACAAATGCTGCTGCCAGGGAAATGCAAGGGAAAAGTTCAGCTTACAGAGATGCTATCTTATCTCCATGATTCTCCCTCCTTTCATTCTCAGCAGCACTCTGCACTCTGGCATGATGCAGACACTATAGCCTTCCACTCTAGTTGAGCCAAGATAAACAATTAGGGCTCGAAATGTACACATTTTTAATTGCAGAATATGACATATAGATGTGTGAGACTGAAGAGAGAGGGATAGTTCTCAACAAGAAGGTGAAAGGTTTCCATGGACTTTAGCTTTTCCAAAATGTTGAAGGCAGTTTGCAGCAAACCACTCTTTATCTAGCCTGATTAATAATGTGGAATGTATGTTTATTGTAAAAGAATATATATTTTTATATGGTAGAGTTGTGCTTTAAGTGGTTAGATATGCATGCAATAATTGCTGGCTCACTTGTACTATGCAACCCTTCTAATTAATTGTCTATAATATAAATTATATTAAAAATCCAGAAAAAAAACAGAAAGAGTGTAAAGCACATAAAATGGCACATGCAGCTATGCAGATCTGTGAATTGAAACAAAAAGATCTTACCACAGGAGTCACCAAGAAACATGAGCACTATCAGATAATTAAATTTTTCAGCATCTACCAGAAAATTAAATATCAGTTTTGGGTGGCCCTATCCTCCATTAAAGAAACCATGTGTCTCAAACCTTTCAGTAATTAAAGAATGAGTTGCCAGCTTAGGACTATGGATTATTAATTTTTTCAATTGTTATGTGCCTCATTAAACAAACATTAATAGTGATTCAGCAGCTATTTGTTGTGCTATATAATGCAAGTTTTGCACCACTTGTTTAACTCTGTTTTATTTTTCTTTTCTGTTTCAGGTACGTTTACTATGATTTTTTCCAGATTTTAAGATCCCTTTCTGCTGCCACAATCTTCAAGTTGGCATTCCAAAAACAGTATGGTTTTTTATATGTTTGTCTTAATGTTCTAGTTGATTATTGGAATTGTGTCACATCCTAGATTTTAGGTACTTGTGCATTTTTGCTGCTGGACTAAACCTATTTATTAGATTCAAATTAGTTTGATGCATATGATTTTATGTTAGGGTTTTTGTAAGAAAAACGTACTGTGCTGTCTTAATGGAGCTTCCATAGAATATTTAAGACTTTAAATTAGAATAAGCATCTTATAATTATTTATTACAATTCTGGAAGAGCATATTTAGATTTCAGTCTGCAAATTTTATTTCTTTTTCTAGGAAAGGTTTTACTTTTGCAATACAAGGTGTGACGGAAGCGTAGGCAGGACAGAACACACAAAGAAGATGGGGAACACACAAAGCTTTATTGAACTATAAAAGACACTCAATTAGGACAGTTCATGGCACTCCACGACATGCAGCTTGTAGGGACACCCACGGTAAGCGGGCTCACGGGGACTCTGCGGGACCTTGGCGATGGGGTCTGACCTCGGCACAACCCCCACACAGCTTACTAGGGACAACATCAGCTCACGGGGACTCAATGGGACCTTAGCTGTGGAGTCTGGTCTCAACACAGCTCCCACACAGCTTACCAGGGATGACATCAGGCTCACGGGGACTCAACGGGACCTTGGCTGTGGAGTCTGGCCTCAACGTAGCTCCCACACAGCGTACTAGGGACGACATCAAGCTCACAGGGACTCAACAGGACTTTGGCTGTAGAGTCTGGCCTCAACACAGCTCCCACACAGCGTACTAGGGACGACATGAGGCTCACGGGGACTCAACGGGACTTTGGCTGTGAAGTCTGGCCTCAACACAGCTCCCACACAGCGTACTAGGGATGACATCAGGCTCACGGGGACTCAACGGGACTTTGGCTGTGGAGTCTGGCCTCAACACAGCTTTCTAGGGACATCAGGCACACGGGGACTCAGCAGGTAGCGATGGCTCAAGCACTCAGGGGCATCCCAGGTAACTATACTCCGGGCACGCCCTGGGGTGGTTCAAGTAAGGGTAGACGGGGCGTGCAATAGGGGCAGCTCATGACAAGGGTGGTCTGAGCGCACAATAGGGACAGTTCAGGACATGGGTGGTCTGAGCGCACAATAGGGACAGTTCATGACACGGGTGGTCTGTGCACACAATAGGGACAGTTCAGGACACGGGTGGTCTGAGCACACAATAGGGACAGTTCAGGACATGGGTAGTCTGAGCACACAATAGGGACAGTTCATGACACGTGGGTCTGTGCGCACAACAGGGACAGTTAATGACACGGGTGGTCTGTGTGCACAATAGGGACAGTTCATGGCTTCTAGGGACACTCACGATAGGCGCCATGCAGGTGCTCAGCAGCAGGCGGCTTCCAGGGGGGTAGGCGACTTGTGGACGCTCAGCAGCAGGCAGCTTCCCGGGAGGTAGGCGACTTGCGGACGCTCAGCAGCAGGCAGCTTCCAGGGACAAAGTGGTCAGCAGACAGGATGGCTTCCCAGGGGCCCCATGATTAGCAGACAGGGTGGCTTCCCAGGGGCCCAACCATCAGCAGACAGGACGGCTTCCCAGGGCCCCCAGAGATCAGCAGACAGGACGGCTTCCCAGGGGCCCAACAATCAGCAGACAGGGGCGGCTTCCTAGGAACCCAGCGATCAGCCGATAGGGGCACAGCGGGCTTCAGCAGGTAGGGGCACAGCAGGCTTGCAGGGGCTCGGCAGGGTCTTGGTGGTGCGGGGTCTGTGCCTGGGATGGTTCTGACCTTTGGGAGATGGCTGCAGATGCCCGGTCCCACCCAGCTGCGTTGGACAACACAGGAGGGAGAGAGAGCAAGCCTGGTCTCGTGCTGGCCTTTTAAAAGCCGTGCGGGGCGCTTCCGAGTTGCCCCGGAAACAGCCGGCCCAGCGCCGCATTGTCGGGGCAACGAGGCACGCCCCCCTCATTATGGCCATGCGCAGGGAGCGCGGCCTTTGTCTCCAGCGGGGCGCCGAGTGTGGGAGGCCTCGGGGCTGCGCTGCCCCTGCCGGGACAAGGAGGGAAAGGGCTCACAGAGACACCTCGGTGGCCTGCACGTGAAGACCCTGCGGGATTTCAGACTCTTCTGCGGCTTTGCTGGAGGAGAGGTGCTAACCGCACCACAGGGGGCGTTTCTCCCGTCCTGCACAGCCCTTTGAGTAGGCTGGCAGGACGCGAGGACTCTGCAAGGGGGGAGGGATACGGCAGAGGAACAGCAAGCAAAGGGGGGTAGGGAAGGCATGGGCACTCCGTGACACAAGGCTCTACAGATAATATTTATACTTCATCATCTTTCTATCTATCTATCTATCTATCTATCTATCTATCTTCTATCTATGTCTGGTAATGGATCTGTAAAATTTAGGCATGCAAATGTTTTGGGTATGCAAATTCTCAGTGTGCACTGGATTGGGTCTGTATAAAGTAGGTGGGCAAATGTTTGAAAGTCTATAGAATCCAATTATTTAATTATACGGGGTTAGTAGAATCTAGTTGTGCACTAGTTTGGGTTCTATGGAATTTAAGTGTGTTTTTTTCTGTTATGGTGGAATGTGGTGTTACTCAGTGCCCCTTAATTAATAGCCCCAATAGAGAATCAAGGGGGGTGGATTTACTAAAAAGTAAGCAGACAGAACTGCTGTTTATTGCAACCAATGAGCTTTCATCTTTACCATGTTCAGTTAATACGGAGTTCCACTCACTCTGTAAAAAAATAAAAGTCAGCAGCTGCAAAAACTGTAGCTGCTGAGTTTTAAAAAAACAGCCACTCCTCTGTCCCCCGCTACACTCCGTTACACCGGCCGTCCTGTATTCCAGGCACTGGCATCTTCAGAGTGGACACCCGGCTGTGACAGCTTGCGGCTTCACAGCTGGGTGCCCATTGCGCATGTGCGAGTAGCACCACACTTCCTGAATGGCTCTGTCATCTTCTGGGACCTGTCACGTGTCCCACAAGACTTCAGGGAGGGAGGGTAGGTGTGGACAACTTCCATTTCTGATTGCCTAGGCGATCGCAGAGGAAGCGGGAGTGGGTACCTGTCAAATTCGGGTACCTGTTCCCCCCCACTCCCCAAAGGTGCCATTCCTTAATGGGAAAGCGGGGGACCAATCTTTAAAGTGGAACTTCCCCTTTTGGGTGGAACTCTGCTTTAAGCTTTGAAAATTAAACATATAAGCGGATTGGTTGATAAATCCTCTCTTGGTGTGCACTGGTTTGTGGTATTTAGAATCTAAGTTTGCAATGGTTGGGGTTCTGTAGAATCTAAGTGTTCACTGGTTGAATGTCTTTAAAATCTAGGTGTGCACCAAGTATTTTGTAGAATGTTTGGGTTTTGTAGAATCTAGGTGTAAACTTTTTCACATCTGTAAAATGTAAGTACTCATTTGTTTGGGTTCTGTAGAATATAGTTGTATACTGGTGTGGGGTCTGTAAAATAAAAATGTGCACTGGATTCTGGATTTCACGGGATCTGTGGAATCTATGTGTGCCATGGTTTAGGGTCTGTAGATTCTAGCTGTTCACTGGTTGGGGTTCTGTAGAATCCAAGTGCGAACTGCTCTGAAGTCTGTAGGATCTAGGTGTGCACTGGTTTGGAGTCTGTAAAATCCAAGTGTGCACTTGCTTGGGATCTGTGGAATACAAGCGTGCGCTGGCTTGGGGTCTGAAGATTCCAGGTGTGCGCTCACGTTGGGTCTGTGTAACAAACAGTGTTTGTGAGTTCACAGAATCTAGTTGTGCACTGGTTTAGGGTCTGTATAATGTGACAATACACAGCTAAAATGTTTTTCTTCTGGCTAGTAATACTAACATTATTGTGAATGAAGTCGAGGGTGTGCTGGCTACTCCAACCAACATGAACATGAAACAACACAGAAATAAAAGGTCTAAGGTGAACAAAATAAATATAAAATCACCCTTTATCACAAAACTAATATATCACATCATGACAAGATAATCTCTCAACAAAAAACAACCCCCATTATTAAAAAAATTACAACATTGTCCAGAACCATTCCTCCATACCTCAAGCACACAATATAAATGACATTTGAGAAATAGATATATAATGCAAACTTGACAATATAATGTAACTGTTTAGACAACAGCTACAAGAAAGCAAAGCAAAGTTGCAAAGTACAGTTAAAAAATGTGTGCTCTTCATCACAGATCATCTAGCAAGGTGAGCTGCATACATAATTAAGCTTTAACTAAATGTTCTAATAGCATGGTTTTCAAAAAATTACAAAAAAAAACATCATCTGCATTGTATCTTAGCTGCAAATCAACAGAATTGGGTATTCCTGAAGTGGGGAATCTGAACAGTAGAACAGAACTACAGTATAATGTCAGAATCTTTTAAAGGATAAGTTCACCTTTGGGAACATGTTACATATTCTATGGGTTTTTAGGGTGGAATATTTAATATGTTCCCGACCCTACAGTCACTACACGCTGTCCCCTCTCCCTGTGACAGAAGTACAGGGAGAAGTTCCCCATACTACCTGTCAGTTTTCAAAAACAGTGTGGCCATGCGGGGCTCTGCCCTCACAGCTGCGTCATTCATTCGCAGTGTTCTATGAGGGCTTGTAGTGCTCAATGAACTACCATGGCGCTGTGAGCCATTCAGTCTTCCTTTCAGCAAGTATCGGCTTGCCCATATGGGATGTACAAGCAAGCAGATAAACTGACAGTCAGCAGGAGACCTGCATGGCATCAGCAATGTGCTGATCGCTGGTGCAATGCTTTACAGGCTCCTAACTCAAAAAAAAAAATAATAAATGCACATTTTTTACATGCAAAATAATGTTCATTTATTATTTTTTGTGGACAGGTGAACTAATCCTTTAAATCATTCAACAGAAGTACATTGTACAAATGAATGTAGGCAGCACCCACTTCTGAGTCACATGCAATGCTTTAATTTAATCCAGGGTAAAATACAACATGATCTCTCACATACTCACATGTTTCTGCCCTATGCAAGCCTTAATCATAGCCTATGATTAAGGACAGAATAGGGCAGAAATGTGTGAGCATGTGGGAGTTCATGTTGTATATTATCCTGGACTAAAATAAAGAAGTGGGTGCTGGTTATATTCATTTTGATGGAAGACTGGCTGAAAGGAGCCCTCCTTGCACTGCATCTTACACAGGCTGGTGGTTGTCTCAGGTGAGCAGTGGCTTGCTGTCATCACAGAAGTACATTGTGCAACTCACACTGGTAATGAAGATAATCTGTGCAGATAAGGAAGAATAACTACTGAACCATCCCAGAGCAATGACATCGCTCATGCACTGTAAAGGCAAACAGGTAACTACTTTCTGTAAGTGGCTATCAGTGTGAGGTGAACTGAAAATCAGATTATGACTGGGAAAACTGCTCACACAATATTAATTTACATGTTACAACATTATCTGTCCTGCCACAGATTTCTTCTTTCTTTCTGTGTTGTCTACATAAAATATAGGTGTGAACTGGTTTGGGTCTGTAGATTTGCACTGATTCAGGATTAGTAGAATCTAGGTGTTAATTGGTCTATAGAAACTAAGTTTAATGTCTATAAAATCTAGCTGAGCACTGGATTGGGGTCTGTAGAATTTGGGTGCACACTTTTCCGGTTCTGTACAATGTAGATGCGCACTGGTTTGGGGTCTATAGAATCTAGGTGTAAGCTGGTGTGGGCTTTATAGGATGTAGATGTAAGCTGGTGTGGGCTTTATAAGATGTAGGTGTGCACTGGTTTGAGGTTCTGTAGAATCTAGGTGTGCACTGGTTTAGGGTTAGTAGAAATTAGATGTTAATTGGTTTGGCCTCTGTTTAATCTAGATGTGCATTGGTTTGACATCTATAAAATCTAGCTGTGCTCTGGTTTTGGTCCTGTAGAATCTAAGTCTTCATTGATTTGGGGTCTGTAGAATACAGGTGTGCACTCTTTGGGTTCTGTAAAATCTGGATATCTACTGGTTAATGTCTATATAATCTAGTTTGCACTGATTCAAGGTCTGTAGAATCAAGGTGTGCACTAGTTTGGGTTCTGTAGAATATAGGTTTTCACTGGTTTGGGGTTCTGTAGAGTCTAAATTTGTACTGGAATGGGTTCTTGGTATAAACAGGTTGGGTTCTGTACAATTTAGGTGTGCAGTGGTTTGTGTTCTGTAGTATGTAGGTGCACACCGGTTTGGGTCTGTAATATCTTGTTTTGGGTCTGTAGAATGTATGTGTGAACAGGTTTGGGGATTTGTTCCATTTAGGTACTCACTGGTTGGAGGTCTGTAGAATTTAGCTTTGCACTAGTTTAGAGTTTTTTAAAATCTTGGTATGCGCAGGTTGGGTTCTGTACAATCTCGGTCTGCAGTGGTTTGGGAGTCTTTGAAATTTAGGTGTGCACTAGTTAAATGTTAGTAGAATCTAGGTGTTCAGTGTTTTAGGGTCAGTAGAATCTAGGTGTGCATTAGTTTGGGGTCTGTAACATCTAGTTCCTCACTGATTTTGGGTTAGCAGAATCTGGGTATAGTCAGGTTTGGGGCCTGTAGAATGTAGGTGTGCTCTGTTTTGGTGTCTGTAGTACCTAGGTTTGCACTGATTTGGGGTCTGTAGGATTTGAATGTCGAATAATTTAAGATTTTTTGAATCTAGATGTGCACTGATTTGGAGTCTGTATATTCTAGGTGTGCAATGGTTTGGGGTCAGTGGAATC